TAATCCTACGTAGCTTTTTCTCTGCTAATATCACACTACTAACTTGAGCATACAAAACATTTGCTAGACCAATACTCGAATACAGCTCATCAGTCTGGAACCCACATTACGTATCTGATATTAGCACAGTTGAGAAAGTCCAGAAATATTTCACAAGAAGAGTTCTCCACTCCTCTACTTGTTGTAGAATACCTTATGCCACCAGACTCGAAATTCTAGACCTAGAAAACCTACAACTACGCCACCTTCGGTCCGATCTAAATATAGTATATAAAATCATACATTGCAATGTCCTACCTGTCAATGAATACTTCAGCTTCAACCATAACAACACAAGAGCAAACAATAGATAGAAACTCAACCGCACAAAACTTGATTGCAGGAAATACTAGTTCAGCAACAAAGTGGTCAATGTCTGGAATACTTGACCTGACACTGTGGTTTCTTCCCCAACCTCCAAAACTTTAACCTTAGACTGTCTACTATAGACCTCACCCCTTTCCTAAGAGGTCTGTAGGGGGTGTGCATAAGCACACCAATGTGCCTACCGTCCCTGTCCTATTGTTTCTTTTATTTTTCTTATATGTACCCATTTCATGTATTCATAACTATGTATGTACTTATACCTATTATCTTGTAAGCGATGGACAAAATCAATCAATCAATCAATCAATCAATCAATTAATCAATCCCCAGCTCGAGTCGGAGCCCCACATTATGTAGGGGTTCTGTGGTCCTGAGCATTCCCTGAAGTCAGCCAACAGAGGGAGGCTTTCCTACCCCAGGAAGAAGACGTGGACGGGTCCTCTCAGCAGCTGAGGTTGGGACAAGGAGGAGAGGAGGCTTTGCAGTGGGAAATCGGAGCCCAAGAAATCAGGAGCCAAGGCAATTCAAAGGAATGCGGGTTTATTGCAAGCTAACAGTCTCTACAAGAATCTCAACTACTAACAGCCAAAGGTGGCAGGTATGAGTCAACAGAATTCAAGGCTGGACTTACTGTAGATGTTACCAACCAGGCAACCTCATCAGTGCTAGAAGGGAGTGAGGTTTGTGGAGAGGAGGAGGAGGAGGAGGAGGAGGAAGGAGGGGGAAGTAAGGAGGAGGACTGTGGGGTCTGTGGGGCTCTCTGATCTTGGTGGCTTTCTTGTAGACATTTTATGACCCAACCCTGGAACATCATCGGTGCAAGAAGAGAGGGGAGCTTGTGGAGAGGAGGAGGAGGAAGAGGAAGAGAAGAGGACGATGAGGAAAGCTGTGGAGTCCTTGGTGTGTTCTGAGCTTGGTTGTTTCCTTGCAGGCGTTTCATTACCAAACCAGGTAATGTCATCAGTGCTAGAAGGGAGTGGGAGAGCGGGTTACAGAACTAGGAGAGAGTGAGAGAGAGAGTGAGAGAGAGAGAGAGAGAGAGAGAGAGAGAGAGAGAGAGAG